TCTCTTTGCGGCTTCCTGTGCTTGCACAGTGATTTCGCAAGAGCCGTTTAAAATGTAAAAAAGGAAAATTAAGGCGACAGCGGTGGAAGACCCCGCCCAAGTGAAGGGCTGGCGACTCGCTGCGCCGTGGTCCCGCGCACAGCGGGGACGGTGGGGACGGCGGGGACGGGCGGAGCGGGGCGCCCACACGCGTGTGCACGTCAGACACGTGGCGATGTGCGTTGTCCCCCGGTCCGTATCGCGGGCCATGTGCGTCCGTTTAGATGCGCAGCAAAGTGACCCCGTGTGTGTCCGCAGCCGCAGCGTCCTTGGACGTCCCGCGTTCTCACTGGTCACTCTTCCTGTCCTAGGCGATCTGGTTAAAAGGCTTTGGCGGGCCTGGCGAGGCCTGCGCGCTGCGGTCCCGCCCCGGCCCGGGGCCACCGCAGCTGACATCCGGGGACCGCACCCTGAGTTTGTTGGGAGGGGGTCCCAGCGACTCCGCCTTTGCAGGGAGTGTCCTGAGGTCGGGGGCTGGGGGGTGGAGGGGACGAAAGGCCACGCGCAGGTCGGAACCTGAGACCCGAGGCCTTTCTCAGGGACCAGGCCAGGCCGGCTGGCCCGCTGGGTGATGGAGGGGGTGGGGGCGAGGGAGGTGACAAGAAACCAGAACCGGGCTCCGGATGTGGCCTCCGGCCCGTGGTGCCAGCCTCGTCCTGACCCTCGCCTACACCTTGTGGGCGGCATTTTCCTAGGGCGTGCCGCGCGCTCTCCACCCGCCGGGTTGCCAAATCTTGCGCTGGAATGCGGACCATGCGCGCCAGGAGCGGACATGTGTTTACGACAACAAGGGGCTGTCCCCGCGCTCAGGCCGTCAGGCCCGGTCAGGCCAGGCCCGGCCCCGCGCTGCCAGGACGCTCCCCGCGGGGCAAGTGCCCGGCTCCCGGCGCGCGCGTCCTCTCCGCGTGGGCAGAACCTGTGGCTGCGACGCTGCCCGCTGACCAAGGCCAGCGCTTCGCACTGCGCTGGGCACGTGCCCTGCCCTTGGGGCTGCACCGGGGCGCAAACTCCCCACAGTTACTTGTGGGCTGCACGGTCGCCGTGCTCAAGTCCGCGCTCCCCGCTGGGCCTCACCTGTCCCGCGCAGGTGTCCCAGCACCGGGCCGTGCCAATCAGCTCGCATCGCCCTGCTGCATGAAGCCACTGGCGCTTCCTTCACAGAGAGAATGCGCCTGGGTCGGTATTTGTGTGCATGAAAGTCGGTGTCTGTGTGTGGAGGCACGTGTTTTATCACGTGTGGTTACACGTGTATGGATACAGGAGAGCGCGGAGTTACCATAAAATCAAAGTGTGTAGTTGCCGGCACAGATGTTACAACGTTTGGGTGTGCAATGCACGATTACAGTCTATAGTCTACCTTATGACACATTCTGATACATCTTATAATGTGTAATATATATCCTAATATAGATTCTAAAAGAAGTGTCCAGAGGCTGCCTTCAGACTTTACAATGTATATGTGTTCGACATTACATATAGTATTTATCATATTGTAATATATGCTGTAACACATTCTAAGGTATTTTATAAAATGTATTCTAATATACATTGCAGAGGAAGCATTCAGCTGCTTTCACAGACTTTACGATTTATATATATTATTAGATATTTGTAGGTACATTATATTCTTATATACTCTAATATACTTTATTATCTATGTTAATATATTTTATTATATATTCTAATGTACATTCTAAAAGAAGTTCTGCCTTCATAGACTTTACCATTTACATGTACATTACATATTACATGTTACCTATTATATTCTAATATAGTCTGTAATACGTTCTATTTTGTAAGATTCTAATAGATTTTATTATCTATGTTCTAATATATTTTATTACATATTCTAATGTCTGTTCTAAAACAGCTGTTCTACCTTCACAGGCTTTACAATTTATATATGTATTAGATATCACATATATCATATATGATATTCTAATGTATTGTGTAACATATGTTCTATTTTTATAACAGACGTTCTAATATATTTTATTATAGATCCTGAAAGAAATGTTGAGCTGCCTTCACACACATCACAACTTACATACATAGAAACGTATTTATACATAAAAAGATGTCTGCACGTATTCTGACTTCAGGAGATCTGTGTACAGCGCCGGCGACTCAGGTAAGCAGGTGCTTTGGGGACAGGTGTGACGTGCGCCCACGCTTTAGGAGACTGTGTTTTCGGGCTTCCAGAGAGAGACTTTTCCAGTTGTGTGGGAGTCGGTTTGAACCTGGACCCGGACAGAGCCTTCCGCGAGGGTCCCCTGTCTCTCAGGCTCGGTGCCTCCGTGTGCGTGTTCTCAAATGAGCTGTCAGAGAGCCATTTACGGGGGTTCGGGTTTCGTCACGAAGCCCTTCATTCCCCCCATCCCTGGTGACCCTCGGGAGGGAGGCTTCGTGTTGGCGTCGGTGCGCTAGGCGTGCGTGGGAACCTGGATCGCTGGCTATGCTCTGTTGCCAACCTCGTCACCTCTGTCTCTGCAGATGGAGCCGGGCCCTTTGTGACTAAAGCGGATGCTGAAACCTATTTTAAAGGATGATAAGAAGGACCACAGTCATCCGGGACGTGCTCAAGGTTCAGGCTGCGGAGTCACCACCACCCACAGTGTCTGCAGGGTACCTGGAAGCCATATTTTGGCACTTGGCTCTCTGGACATCTTTCCTGCCGAAGGGACCCGTGTTTCAAGCAGCTCCAATGTCACTTGTGAAAGAAGTGTCCTCACTCAACCTATGTCTTCAAGCTAGGTGTCCCTGACCTAGAAACACCCTCTCCGGTGACACTATGAAGTTTTTTTTTTTTGCCATGGAGATGTCACAGCTCTGGCTAGGGAGGTGGAGATTTCAAAAGGGCTTCGGACGATTAATGCGTTACCTTAGAAACCTGGGTGGTCCAAGGAGCTGCAGATTTAGGGAAAATCCAACCAATCGCTAAAATGAAACAAGACCCTAGAAGCCGCTCTCTCGACGAACCCGAGTTTCACGGTCTGGAAATGTTCGAGGACGTTTTGAGTTGTCACGGTCCAGAGGCCCTTCTTATTCAAGTACGCAGCCCTGACTTGGAAAAGTGATGCTGCGTGGGCCTGTTGATTCTGACGCTTTTCTGCAGTGACTTCGAAGAAAACCACACAGGGAAGCGTTGAGTGCTCACAGCGCCGTGCCGGACCCGCCTGGAATTGGAACCCGCGGAGTCCACGCCTCACCCAAGACACACTTGGGACACGGGGAAGCAGAAAAGTGGGCGGAAACCACGAACCACGGCGCCTGCTTTCCAGATTCTGCAAGACTGAGCTTAGCACGTGGGGCGGGCGGTTTTTCCTCTCTCTGTTGCTCACGTGCTGGTCTCTGACGCTTTTTAAATGACTCGGAGTTCGACAGAGGACGTGGAAGTACATGATATCACGTCGAGTCGTGTATGTCTGTAGACGCAATAAAAAATATACCACTAGCCACCGTTCTCCGTTCGGATTAAAAGGTTATTTACATCCTCAGCTTGGGCTGTAGTTTAAGAACACCACGAAGACGTCAGGAGAAAAGAAAACTAAAATTAATTCCTGGAGTATTAAATCATTTCATGGGGCGGGCGGGGGGCAGGGGAATCAGACCGAACACGGTAAGAATAGAAAAGTGAGTTTTCAGAACCCTGGCAGTTCCTGGAAGAACAGTCTAAACTTGATAGAACCACCAGGGTAAATAGACGAGTAGACCTGACTATATAAAAATGTAAGTAATGGAAACACAAAATAAAAACACGCTTATCGCAAGCATATGCCTCGGGCATAAGAAATGCACAGTAGCGAAACGGATATGTGATCGAGAGTATGAGAGGACAAGTAACCCCCAAAACAGCGAAACTGTGGGTCCTTCTCTAGTTACAAAGGTTTGCAATAAACTAGCCCCAAAATCAAAGACGTGTGACTGGGAAAAAGCGTGGCAGCTGTCTTTAAAAATTCACCTGCCTTGGAGAGATGAGGTGTCGCATGCCAGCGAGACAATGGTTAGACACGTAGCTTGTCATGCTTTCAGTGGCGAGTCTGATGGTGTTAGAGATGATCCTACATTCTGGTCCGCGAACTCTATATCTAGGAATTTGTCTACCTGGATGAAATTTTGGAGTCCTTCAAAAACCCGGTGACCAGAGTGACCCACGTTTTTGGGGGTGAATGGTGTTCTTTCCAAAATTTATATGTTAACACCGTCACGCCCAGGACCTCAGAAATGTGACTGGATGTGGAGATGGGTTTTTAACAGAGGAGATGAAGGTCCAGTGAGGTCACCAGGGTGGCCCTGATCCCATAGGACTGTGTCCTTGTAAGAAGACGGGATGAGGACACAGACACGCACAGGGATGAGCACGTGGGCACACGGGGAGGGGACGGCGTCCACACGCCCAGGAGAGAGGCCCCGGGAGGGACCGGCCCTGCCCACACCTGCATCTCGGACCTCAGCCTCCACAACGAGGAGACAATACGTGTCCGTGGTTTAAGCCACCAAATCTGTGAAATTCCGTGGCCTTAGCAGACTATTACACCCCTGATTCAAGGCAGGTTTTTATTGTAGAGAAATAATAGGGAGATTTTCAACATCCCCAAATCGGGAAATCTGTGTGTTTATGCTGATGCGTTCGTATGAGGGAACTTTCCGGATTCTGTAAAGGATCCGAATGAGATTAGCGTGATCTTTGGCCTCGCTCTGTCGTTTATCTTCATTTCCAGGACAGGGGTGAGAAAACATTGATCCAGTCTTATCAGCGAGCCGTGTCGTTTTGGTGGCCGTCCCTGCTTTCATCTGCGGACACGAGTAATCAGAACACTGGGAAAGCTCAGAAGGACAGAAAGAACACGTGACTGAATAGATAGATACACATGCCCTGACCTTGTGGGGTGGAGGGAGGACAAAAAACCATTCGCTACTGTAATTTTTCTCAGGTCAGTGTCCTTCTGGCACAGTGAAGTCAGACTCGCCGGAAGAAAAATGGTTTCTGAACTTCAGAGAGATAAGGTCCCCCGAGCAGGCGAGAACCAGCTTCTCTTAAGATAAAGCCGGGAGTTAAAATGTCGTCTGACGTTGGGGAGGAAGTGCTCACAAATGTGTTCCTGGGGAGTCCGGCAGTCACGTGCCAAGTGACCGTGGTGGCCTCGGCCATACATGTCATTCAGACACCTGCCTGGGGAGTTAAAAATGGACTAAAAAGCAGCTTTCCTGCTTTCCTGCGTGGGCCAAAGTAAATTCTTCACGTTTCGAAATGCACGTGTAAAAATGAAACCACGGGGTAGTAAAGACAAATATGGACTTTTAAGATATGATGATAATAATAACTAATTTATAGTATATATAATTTATGTTATGCATAATTTAAATAGGCTGTATAATATGTCTAATTTATGTAGACTATGTAATTTATATTACATATAACTTATGTATAAAATATATAACTTGTATTATGCAGAATTTATGTATAAAACATGTAATTTATGCTACGCAAAATTTATGTGTGAAATGTATATAATTTTGAAAAAGAGAGGCTTTTCTGCAAAACCATAATGTAAAGACGTATTTGTGTTTATATTGCATAGGGAGAACAGATGCATATTTTTATATAGACACTAGATATGTATAGATAGATAGATAGATAGATAAATAGATAGATAGATAGAAAAAATATATACCACAGTGCAATACAATGTTACGACATCAAGCACTGTAGATATATACACGTCTGTATACACAGTAGATACATCAATACAAACATATACATGTAAGTGTATATATATACACACATATACAAATGGAAATATATATAATCCCACAGGCGTGCATGATGATACACATTTATGCTCCCGTCTGTACACATATGTCAGGTGGCCCCCGACACTGCGCATGTGGAGAAAGCAAATAAAAATACAGGACGCTCGGTGAAATTTTAATTTCAGGTTAACATACATATATTTTAAAGGCAAGAACCTGAAAAAAGATCATGGAAAACATCACATTCCACCTGCGATGGACGTACACACCCCCCACTCTACGTTCTGACGGCTTCGTGGGTATCCTTTGTCTGACCCGCGTGACACGCCTCACCCGTGCCCCTCAGGACGGTCTGCTCGCTTCTGAGTTTACGAGAGGAGTTCCCCTCATCGGATGCCTTGGGACAGGACAGGAGAAGAAACACCAGCCTCCATCCGGAGGAGCAGCCGGTCAGCCGGAGGAACGGGCTTGGCTGGTTTCACAGGGAGCGCGGGCGGGCGGTGCTCTTGGAAACAGCAGGACGTATCTGAGGCTTGTTTCTGCAGCATCTGGAGCCGCGGCCAGGACGCTCAAGGTCACCTGGAACGCTTGGCTGCCTGGCTGGGTTACAGGCGGGCCGTGTTTGTTCAGCGGAAGCGGATCGCAAACAGGCTTCTTTCAGAAATGTAGACCTGTATGGTGAGGCCTGGGGCGGTGTCCCCAAATGAGGGACGGCGGCAGACCGCTTAGAAGGCGTGTGTAGTTCGGCAGCCGCTGGTAAGGCACGGCGCCTGCCATAGTCAAAAGACAGCCCAGAAAAAGCTCAGTCCCCGGTGTGGATGGCCACCCATCTGCATGGAGGCCCCGGGACGTCCGGGGACACACTGCTGGGGGCCATGGTCGCTGTCGCTGCCCAGTCTAAGACCCCAGGGGACGCGGAGACTGCACGCAGCTTGCAAACTGTCCCTGTATCGCAAACATCTCTCGGGCTTCGCAGAAGGGCGCAGACGAGCCTTGGGAAGCACACACGAGGCGGGACGGCTGGGGAGTCGGGCTCCGGTCCATCTTTGTGGGATAGTGGCACGAGCTGTGGCTGCCGACGATGGGAGGGACTCGGTGTCGCTGGACAGCTTGTCCCTCAGCACGAGAGCAGTCGTAGACGACGTGCAGGCGGCCCTGAATACACACGGACCAGCCTGCGGGGATCCACCCCGTGCCCTCCCCGCGCACGCCCGCTACGTGGGCGGAGAATGGCCTCGCGGTATGTCGAGATCGCCGTGTCGCCACCAGAAAGTCAGGCCTGGACTTGAAGCCGGGGCAGGGGGATGAAACAGACGTCAGGCAGCGCCCCGCTCCGTCCCGGCCGTCCGGGGCAGCCGCCGGCAGAGACACGATGCATTCGCTTGACATTTCTGCAAAACGAGTGTCAGCTGCCCTTCGTGGTGCATCTGCTGTACCCCTTGCTGTCAGGCCCGGCGAGGTAAAAAATCCGCAAGCGTTACAGATGAACTTGAGGGTGAGTATGAACTTGAGGAACACTCTGTGGCGTGGAGCCCCTTGGCGGGACGGAGGGACGAGCTAAAAGCCAGTGTAGAAGGATGTTCAAGCTGTTGCACGGACACCCCTGGAGCTCAGGGGCACTGAGCATCATGCGGACGAGGCCAAGAAGCGGTCGGCCCCCTAACAGACCGCGCCCGGGCTCAGAGGGGCGTTTTGCTGCGGACCGTAGAGCTGTTCGACTGGGGACCGTGGGCGTCGACTGTGGGACGCTGAGCGGGCTCTGCACGTGATGGACCTTCCAGAATCCAGCCCGCCCGCGACGAGGCACGCGCTTGACCCGGGGCGTCGGCATCCAGGCTGGGACATGCCCTCGGAGCGGCTGCCCCCGATGCCTCTGCTGTCACGGTTCCTTCCAGAAGGGCGTCTGCAGTGAGCCCCCGAAGCGTCAAGCGGCAGCCCTCACCCGAGTCACCTCAGCTGTGGTTTTGTCACGAGGGGCGTGTTGCTGTTTTCTGAGCCGCGGTCGTTAGGAGGCGGCGGGGTTTTGTGGTCACGTGCTGGGGTGTCGCTCCTTCCGAGTTCCTGTGCCACAGGCCGGCATGCTTGTGCACAGACCCCATGTGCCCGGTATAGTTTTGGGGGGCCAGACGGGACATCCCGGAACCTCCAGGCAACCTCACGCCTGCTCTATGACCAGTGCTACGCCAGTCTGTGAAAATTAGAACAGCAGTTGCCAAAAATTAAATACAGAAAACATCTGTATGCGCTTCTTTGGGAAATAAATCATTGATAGGGATGAAATGCTGTAGATTGTGCGTCTGCCTCCCTGCCCAGTGTGAGGGTGATTGAATGTTTTTCTGTGATCAGGATGAGGTCCATCTCGTACTTAGGTGGTTTGGGTCTTTCCTGTTTGGGGGCAGAAATCTGGAAGTCACCAAATTGAGGCGGGATGACTTGGGCATGGGGTTCCGCTGGCACTGTGCACCTGTCGCCCGCTCCGTGAGCTGAGGGCCTTCTCCCCGGGCCTGGCTCACAGCGGGCTGTCCGTGAGAAGCAGCATGAGACAGCCGCACGCCTCCGACCTAACTCTTGGAATCGTCACTCCTATCGTGTTCTGAGCTTACTGAACAAGGCACCCCCCGCAAAAAAACAAACAAATCAATAAAAATTCATATTTTGAATGGTCCAGGACCTCAGAACGGGACTGTGTTTGGAGAGAGTCTTTACAGAGCGGACGAAGGTCAATGAAGTCATCAGGGTGGCCCTGATCCCATAGGATGGTGTCTTTATAAGAAGAGGGGACGAGGACAGACACACACGCAGAGACAACTACATGGGGTCACAGGGAGGAGACGGCGTCCACACATCCAGGAGAGCGTCCCCAGGAGGGACCGGCCATGCCCACCCTGGATCTCAGATGTCCAGCCTCCAGGATGTGAGACAGTAAACGCCTGTCGTCTAAGCCGCCCAGACTGGGGACGTGGTTCAGGCCTCTCCCCAGCCGCCTGACCCACGTGGGACCTGCTGAGTCCCTGTGCAACTCAACAGGAAGGAATTTAGTTTCCACCCCTCCGCCCCGCCCGCACGGAGACGTGTCCAGACTAGAACGTGCTGTGCGCAGGACGCCAGGTCGCTTCTGGAAGGCGGTCAGCCGCGCCGTCCTTCAGATGCTTTTTCTGAAATGCCTTGGGTGACTTGTCACCCACTGGGAAAGCCAGAAGTGACTTCTTCATCTGACACACGTTTCTCACCGTGGCCCATTGCCAGCTATGCCCGTCCGCGCACCCCTGACGAGTCCTGCTTCAGACTGCACTCAGAGGCCATCTGCATGTTCTAGCAAATCTAGACCCATAAACAGTGCCTGCCTGGAGGTTTAGGGGTTGGGGGTAGGTTTTGTTTTTATGCATGCGCGTTAAAAAAAAAAAAAAAAACACAGCCTAAAAGAAAACGCATAATTTGCTGGAAAATTTCATTGAGATTGTTCAGGGACTTCCCACGTTATTACTCACGTAGAATAAGTGGCCGGAGGAGTTGAGTCCAACCCCATGACGGTGGCATTCTGCAAGAAACGAGGACCAAACGACGCTTTTCACACGGGTTCTTGCGAGGCCCCGGTGCGGGTGCCGGATGCGAGTCCTTCCGAACAGGACGTTGTGGGGAATCTTCCCCGCTGGGCGACTTTAACGCATCTTGCAGAATATTTCCTTGCTCACCTTTAGTCTAGGGTCTGGCGACCTCCCGTACTGACATCTGGGGCCGACGTCTCTCGGACGTGGGGCACCCGTGCACTGCAGAGTGCTGAGTGGTGTCCTCAGCCACCGGGTGCCAGTAGTATCTTCCCCACCCCCACATAACAGCCAAAAATGTCCCCGGGGAGCTCCAGGTGTCCCCTGGAGGCGCAAAGCATTGTCTCTGGCTGAGAACTGCTGTCTGGGCACAATGTATGATTCATGTTCAATATCAATCATACACATAACTTATACGTGCAGGTGTGTGTACGTGTGTTTGCATAGACACATAGATTGCGGGATAGATAGATAGATAGATAGATAGATAGATAGATAGATAGATAAATAGATGATAGATATATAGATATAGATAGATACATAGATACAGATATAAGAGGTAGATAAGTAAATAGAAAGACAGATGATAGA